ATTAGATTTTCAGTCTGTGCCCTAGTATCGGCCGATATCGGCTATCGGCAGACTTACTGATATCGAGAGATGTTAAATAAATGAATAATAGTTAAAAACTGAATTAGTGAACAGCTCCACTTCAGTTGAGCTCCACATGAGTCAGTCAGAAGAGACCACACACACACAGAAGTTTATGCTAATGAGAGTAGAGATGGGCGTGCATACATGAATATATGAGTTCTAAATACAGCAGATATATTTAAGAATGTAACAGAGGACAGAGACATGTCCATCACTGAGGTCCTCGTCAGTCTCTGGAGTCACTGGAGAGTGCACAGTTGAGTTCGGTCTGTTAAGTTAAACAACAGGAACAGGCCCACGCATCGGTCTGACTGTGACTTTCAGCCTATTCAGAGAACAACAATTCACCTATAAGACTGAATTTTAAAATCATGCTTTCACTTACTTGAAGTATCAACACTGGTACTGGTACAGAAAAAGCTGGATCAGTGCAGCCGTGTCTCTGAGTGGAGTTTTCAGAGGTCATGTGGAGACGTCTAGACTTTGAACTACAAGTAAAAAGTGGGAAAATATTGTACTGAAACTTTAAATTACTTTAAAATTACACTGCTGCTGTTGACATCAAATGTAATGATTAAATAAAATAAAATCATCTTCATCATCATCATCATCATCATCATCATCTTGAGGCGGGAGGTCCATCCTTGCTTCCATGGATATGTTATTACTCTGTCTGGTATCCCCATGGAAAAAAAAAAAAAGCAATTGGCTGACCCTGCTGTGAGGTCACACAGTGCACCTTTAAGGTATTCTTTATTGATCCCTCATGAGGTAAATCCATTCTCCGCGTTTGACCCATCTTTCACCCAGTGCTGCTGGGGAAACCTGTCAGGAGCGTGAGCTGCTGCTCTACATTAAGATCCATCTCCAGATCTGGAGCGTGACTTGGTCAGGACCTCCTCAGCTGTTGATGGGAGAAACCACCCAGACACAGGGAGAACATGCAAACTGTACACTGAAAAGTCTCATTTTGCCTGAGAGGTTCAACATAATTTATTGACAGAGCATGTGAATGGACAGACATGATTAGGGTGACCAAACGTCCGTTTTTTCCCGGACATGTCCGTATTTTGCGTCATGTCCGGGGCGTCCGGGTTTTTTTATAAAGTGATGCAAATGTCCGGGTTTTCAGTACCGTTCATTAAACTGAGCGTCTCTCGTAGCGTCTGTGACTCAGAAGGAGCGAGACACAAACAGTCGGTCAGTGTGTAACATGCCGAAGCACAGATGTGCGTTTAACAATGACTTGTACAAGAAATTCAATTAAATTTTCCGTCCCGGTCGGGACAAGTGGGAGGTCATGTGCACAGGTTGGAGGTGAGAGGACAGTGTCCCTCGTTTATCGTGGGGGTTATGTTCTAAAAATAACCTGCGATAGGTGAAATCCATGAAGTTGTCAACTTTATATTTTACAATTATTCTATCTGTTTTAAGGCTGTAAAACCTCAGCACAAACTTTATACACTTTCCTCAGACAGGACAGGTGCAACCCTTTTTACTTCCTTCTTAAAACTTGTTGCTTTTGTTATTTTCCTCCTTCTTTATGTAATGAACTGAAGAGTAATTTATTCCGTAATGGAGTCAACAGCGCAGAGTCCTGCACAGGGTCATTTTTGGAGACCCACAGTACAACACTGCACCTGCGCAGTACAGGACCGCACCTGCGCAGTACAGGACCGCACCTGCCCGTTAACCAGAGATTATATCAAACTTTTGCGCTGCCTACGCCAAGGACTGAACTAAGACTAAACCAGGACTAAACCAGAACTGAAACAGGACTCACTGTCAGGACGGGGTCGGAGGTGACGCAGGAGAAAGGACCGGCTCAGCTCCGCACCTCACGGATGTAAACGTGGCAATTGCCTGATCGCGCTTTACGGACAAACTGCTCGGCGTTCTCTCTCTTAAATCCAAAATTAGTCCTGGTTTAGACCTGGTTTGGTCCTGACCCACTTGTGTGTAATTACTACCCACCTGTAATACACAATACGCTTTCATATGCTGTAAAAAAAAAAAAAGCATGCAAAATTGCCCCTCCCCCCAAGGTGTCTGGGTTTTCACAAACGGAAATATGGTCACCCTAGACATGATACAACATGAGTATAAACACTGGATTACAGACAAAGCCTCTTGAACATGCACTGTGGGTCACAGAGAGCCAAACAATAAAATACGATTTGTGATTCAGAATTTGACTTGGCCTTTCTGTTTTGTAAATTTGAATCAAGTAAAAGCAAAAAGTACGAGGTTGGGGAATTACTACCTCATACATACATACAATTTCTTGAAAAGGTTATTCAAGTAAACATAACTCAGTCTCTGGCCCGACTCAGCGCCGCGTGAAATCCTGAAGATCAGAGCTCCACAGAGGCCCGACTGTGCTCACCAGCATCCCATAATAACAACCAGCACCAAGTCCCTCCATCACACAGGACAGAGAGAGAGGGGAGGAGAGAGAGAGAAGAGAGGGAAGAGGGGAGTGAAGAGAGGAGTCTCAGAGGCCTGGCTGTGCTCACCAGCAGCTCATAATAAGAACCAGCAGCTAGTCTCTCCATCACATCAGGACGTGATGGAGGGAGAGGGGAGGAGAGAGAGAGGGAGGGAAGAGTAAGAGAGGGAGAGAGAACAGAAGACAGAGGAGTGAAAAAGTGGGGGTAAGGGGGAGAAGAGAGGGAAGAGAGAATGAATGTAGAGGAAAGAAAGAGAGGAGAGATGGAGTAGAGAAGAGAAAACAGATGGAAGAGAGGGATGGTGGTTACGAGAAGACAGGAGAGGAGGCAGAAAAGAGCTGTGTGAGAGAGAGAAAGGGGATAAAGAAAAGAGAAAAGGAAGAGATGGGGGAGGAGAGGGAGGGAGAGATGAGAGAGAGTTAAGAAAAGGAGGAGTGAGGATAATCTGTGTATCATTCATTCATTTTTCAATATAAAACCAAAAATAAGAAAAGGAAAAAAACAACAACAACAAGAGTTTTCTTCATTATTTGTCTCCAAAACCAAAATGACAAAACGGATAATGATTAGTTTTTTTCCATTTTTGATTTTGTGTTTAAATGAAAAATGGAAAAAAAAAAACAGCCGTTTCCTGTTTATGTGACTTCCGTGACTGTGATGCCAGACTTTTGTGCTGCATACAGACTGAACCAGGACTGATCTGGTCCCAGTCTGGTCCCCATCTCAGTCCTGGTCTGGTCCCGGTCTGGTCCCGGTCTGGTCCCGGTCTGGTCCCTGTCTCAGTCCTGGTCTGGTCCCGGTCTGGTCCCGGACCTGGATCAGTCCTGGTTCAGTCTGTATGTGGTGCAAAAGTTCGGCATCGCAGTCACGGACGTCACGTAAACGGGAAACGGCCATTATCTGTTTTTTCCATTTTTCATTTAAACACAAAATCAAAAACTGAAAAAACTAATCGTTATCTGTTTTGTCATTTTGGTTTTGGAGACAATTAATGAAGAAAACAGTTTTTTTTTTTTCAGTTTCTTATTTTTGGTTTTATATTGAAAAACGAATGAACGACTGATACATGGATTGAGGATCATTGTCCTGAACCTGTATGAGCATGAATCCTGTTTGTCCTTGGACTAATAACTCCTGTCAACACTATGAATACAACTGATGTCATCAACATATCCTGCGGGTGTGATGCTAACTGTAGGCACTGTCCTGTCTGAATCTCTGTTACACTGTTAGTCTGAGCTTTATTCCAATCTGAGCAGAAAGAAGTGATTTAGCTGAACTACAACAGATGAGGTGATTTTTGTTAAACAAGTCCCTCTGAAATAAAACGACAGTCACTGGCATTAGCCCACAGTTTTTCTCTGCTGGAGAGTAGAGATCTATTTTAGAGAGTCTCACACTGATGGCATCACACTGGGACTATTCTGTCCAAAAGTTCAGCAGAATTTACACAAGAAACACATTTTCTGACTTTAAACATGATTTCAACAAAATAAAGGTTTTCAGGTGTTCAGTCAATTGGAATTTCTTTGGAAATTTCCCCCAGAAACATCATGTTGTGCATTTATGAGGGAAGTTCACACCTTTTCTGAATACAGTTATTTAGCTAGGAAAGATTAAAAAAAATTTTTTTTTCAGGTTTCAACAATAACAAATAAAAAAACATAAAAAAAAAAAACATAATCCACAATCAGCACAATCTAGAAAAAACTAATTGACATGGAGAATAATAAACTACTGAAACAAAAATAAATAAAAAATAATAATAATAATATTTGCTCACTGGTCTTAGGGGTCTCCTTGTGTTCTTTATTTTAATATGGTTTCAACTCTTTGTTTTAGTTGCTAATATCTTTTATTTTTTTATTAATTTTTTTATGTTCTTAAAAAAAAAAAAAAAATATATATATATAAATATATATATATATATATATATATATATATAATAATAATTATTATTATTATTATTATTACCTTATGGGTCTGTATTAAATATGAGTGGGTGTGGATGTGATGTTTGGTTGAGTGTCAAGTTTGAGCTCCTTGGTTTTGTCAATAATAAAATAAATAAATAAATAAAAATAAAGGTGTTTTCTTATAATTGTATTTGTCAAAATATAATATCTGTGTACATGATAAGAGAAGTTTTGGCCTACTCTGCAGTATTGTTGCTAGGTAACAGTTATGACATCCCTTAGCCTAAAAAAAATGCCAAACAAGGGAAAAAAGTTTGAGCGTGTAGTCCAACCTGTCATAGACACTTTAAGTTGTTTTTTTTCTTCTTCTCCCAGTTGCTGGAAATGAGCTTGAAATAAGAAACACGTGATGAAACCCGTCTGAAATCCTGCAAAACTAATCTGATCTAGACCCAGGCGCTCATGGGGTCTGCAGCCGAACCCCGTCGTCTGTCTGTCAGGCTGTGAATTATCTGCTGTTGAATGTGACTAATGTGTGTGTCTGTGTGTGTGCGTGTGTGTGTGTGTGCAGGTCCTGAATGAAAACCTGGCTAAGCTGACCGCCAAGTTTGAGCGAGCCACAGCGGACAAGCTCAAGTGCCAACAGCAGGCAGAGGCGACCGCCCGCACCATCTCACTGGCCAACCGCCTGGTAAGAGCGAGCTGCAGATTATAACATGATGGGATATGTTTCACTCACACATGTTTAACACACAACCCTGCACATTTACACTACAGAGTTCTTCTCTCAGACTGAAAACACTCTGCTCCACCTTGTGATGTCATGGATCCTCAAATGAAACTCAAAAGCATAAATGAAACATAACACAAGTCCAGGTGTTTTTGAGGAAGTAACAATATTATAATATAACTTAAATCTCACTGGAGGTCACTTTGCGTAAAATAGGACCTTTAAAAGAGCAATTCAAAATCAAAAAGACAATTAGGCTACGTTCAGACTGCAGCCTGAAGTGACCCAAATCCGATTTTTTGGCCCCTATGTGACCTGTATCTGATCTTTTGATGACAGTCTGAACCACACAGATCCGATTTTTTCAATTGTGACCCAGGCCACTTGGATATGTGCTCCTGAAACCGATACATATCTGATCTTTTGACATGTGACTTTAGTGTGAACTGAACTTCATCCACCTACGCGTTTTCAACCAGCCACAAACGTCACTATTCTGCACTGAAGTAGGCGAAAATTGTTAATGAACTCCGTGTCACTGAAGTGAAGCACATCTCCACTCACCACTCTTGGCTCCGTCTCCACATCCACACGTTCCTTTCAACAGACGTCACTGCTGCTGTCCCACAAAACACCACGGCCAAAAACCTCGTCCTTCTCCTTCTCAATCTCCTCCTTAAAACAAGTAAGTTGTTCTTGTTCTGGCTCAGGTACGAGAGGAACTTTAAAATCTCCAGGTGCTCAATGCTGCGTCCATGTTTGGACAACTTCCATAAACACAGAGCACGCTCGCTGAGGTTGACGTCGTCATGTCTCCAGTGCACATGTGGGACACTTTTGGGCCGTTTAACGTTCACACTGGAGTCACATACAAGTCACATTTAATTGAAAATGTGAACGACCTCGCAAAAACATCGGATTTCACAAAAAAATCCTAATTAAGCGTTAAGCCCTGCAGTCTGAATGTAGCCAAAGACATCGACCTATAGGGGTCTTGTCATGACTGATGTTGATACTGATTGTTTAGAATCCATAGCAACCAATGGCCAAAAAAAACATGTCTTTGGCTACGTTCAGACTGCAGGGCTTAACGCTTAATTAGGATTTTCTTGTGAAATCTGATGTTTTTGTGAGGTTGTTCACATTTCCAATTAAATGTGACTTGTATGTGACTCCAGTGTGAACATTAAACAGCACAAAAGTGTCCCGCATGTGCACTAGAGACACGATGACATCACCACAGCGAGCGTGCTCTGTGTTTACAGAAGTTGTCCAAACATGGACGCAGCATTGAGCACCTGGAGAAGTTCCTCTTGTACCAGAGCCAGAACATGAACAACTTTTAAAGAGGAGATTGAGAAGAAGAAGGACGAGGTTTTTGGCCGTCGCGTTTTGTGGGACAGTCTGTTGAGAGGAACATGTGGATGTGGAGACGGAGCCAAGAGTGGTGAGTGGTGATGTGCTTCACTTCAGTGACATGGAGTTCATTAACAATTTTCACCTACTTCAGTGCAGAATAGTGACGTTTGTGTCTTGTTGATAATGTGCAGGTCGGATGAATGCGCTTTGGCCGTTCAGACTGAAGTCACATGTCAAAAGATCAGATATGTATCGGTTTCAGGAGCACATATCCAAGTGGCCTGAGTCGCATTTGAAATCGGATCTGTGTGGTTCAGACTGTCATTAAAAGATCAGATACACGTCACATAGGGGCCAAAAAATCAGATTTGGGTCACTTCAGGCTGCCGTCTGAACGCAGCCTATGTGAGAGCAGTTGTCTTTCTCTTGTAGTAAAAACACCAAAAGGACATGAAGGCCCAGTTCTGTCACTCCCTGTAGAGTTTACCTTCAGTTGTATGACTCCTAATGAGGACAGAGTAGACATGATGAAGGGCATTCATTTACTCAATTCTAACTATTTGCTAATTAATGTTTTCAAATCTAATCTCAGTGTAATCAGATGAAACAGGCCTTTATGTTCACTATCTGATGTCATTAATTATAATGGGATTAAATGGAAAGGTTAATATTTGTTTTTGTGAACTATACAGTCCAGAGCGTGAATAGACATGGGCGCCTTTGTTTGTTTCCCACACTCCAAGTAACATGTGCACATTACTATGTGCACTGATTGAATTGAATCAAGTCAAGGCGATGATCAAATCATAACTGGGTCATTATTAGTGGGGATTGAACAATCTCTTGTGTAAGATTTCACAAGTAATGGCTTGAATTCTAATTATTGTTCACCATTGGAGACCATCGAGCCCATACACACAAACACACCCACTGCTCTGTACTCTGTACTACAAAGGCATCAGGAGCTCAGTCGGTAGTGTCAGAATCTCTCTCTCGACATAAACATCATTAGTTGTGCGGTCAGATCCACTGACCCACAGGTTGGCGGTGTGATTCCAGCTCCCACAGATAAATGCTGTAGTTTTGTCCTTGGGCACTTAACCCACCTCACCCCCACAGTGTGTGTGTAAATGTGTGTGTGAATGGGTGAGTGGTTCCTTGTTGTAAAGTGCTTTGAGCCTTGAAGGCTGTATACAAATGTGAACATTTACCATTGAAAGGTTCATGTATGCTTTGATTATATACTGTACATTCTAGACACACACAGATACACATCTCTGTGTGCTCCTGTCTCTGTTCTGGTCTATTCTTCAAACACGTGGAGTCTTAACACGTGTGTTACGTGTGGGCACACTCATTTAAACCTTCACTTATTTTTGTTTCCTTTTTGTAATAATTTTTGTAATTTGTATTTTTTTATTTTTATTTATTTTTTTGCTCAACTCTTTTTTATGGTTTATTTTTAGTGACTGTGCAGAGTCAATAAATACAGCTGCTTGTTCATGGCACATTCTCTGCTCCGTGCGCTCTGCTCCGCCCAGCCCCGCTCACCTTGCTCGCTCCACACTCCAGACCTGAGGGTGTCCTCGCCCCTGTCGGCTCGGTGCCAGGGGCTGCTCTGTAGCTTTTGTTAGCCGTTAGCCTTTTGTTTTGACCTGGTGGGACTGGCTGTCCTTCTTTTGCTTTTCCTTTAGGTTCAGGTTTGTTGGATTTTTTGTCTTAAGTTATTGGTGCTGGCACTGGCTTCTATGGTCCTGTATGGGGTTGGCCCAAAAGAGAACAAAAAGGTTTTGTTTGACCGCTCATCAGGTCCACCTTTCTGTTTATTACTTTTTCATTATTTTTGGGGCATTTTTAGGGTTTTAAAATGTATTTAAAACAGCTTAAAAGGGAAAACAAATGAGAAGACAAGATAAAATAAAATAAATTCAAAGCTAACCTTTGACTTCTTTGTCCTTTTAAATATGCTGCTCTTCGGTCGTAACAAGCTCTGGAGCAGTACATGAGCTGACCACTGGGGGCAGTAGTGACCACAGCTGGACAGTGGAACTTAAACATGACTTAAATGTGACTAGAACCAGCTGCAAAACAAAGAAATGCTTCTCTCATCTCATTTTCTTGGCTCTTTTCCAACAGATGTGTCTAAAAACTGTGGGTGCCTCCATGTTTATTGTTTATTTGTTGCTCTTTTTCATGTTTAACAAACCCTGCAGATTTCTGAGTACTTCTCTCAAACAGAAAACACTCTGTTTCACCTTGTGATGTCATGCAGTGCTCCATACACTTTCACTAGAATCATTTGGATAATTTCAGCCCTGAAATTGCCAGTCTCTACTGAGCATAAGGTAAAAGCAGCCTTAACTACAGCTTCATGACATCACAAGGTGGAACAGGACATTTTGAGCTTTGGTGGTGTAGACAGACTAATAATAAAGAATTGCTCAAACAAGTGAGAATGAAACAAAACACAACTCTGGGTCTGTTTTTTGTTGAGGTAACAACATTTGAACATGGTTTAAAGCTCACAAGAGTCAATCATGTTTAGGTTCCAGACAGATTCACCGTATGTATTCTGTAAACACAAACTCTTCATCAGACAGAGCTAACCTCGTGTTCTGCTGCTGTGCTGATCTCCGTCTCTGTGGTGTGTCCCTGTTCTTCTGCAGCTGCAGCAGCCCAGCCCAGCGTCAGCATTGATGGTGTGAATTATTCAGAAAACACCCAATCCTCCACTCAATCCCCAGTATCCATGTAAATGTGGACTAAGTCTCCAGGTACAGATGATGCACAGACAAAGTACAGACAGAGATGGTCCAGACGATGTACAGACATGGTCCAGAGAAAGTACAGAGGTAGTATCCCATATGGGAAAAAAATGGAAAAAATATAAGAATTGACCACTGTCTTTGTAGTAAATCTTTATATAAGGTTAATATGTGTCGTGTGTGGTTTCCTCCTGAAAGTGTTTCCCCTTTTACATTTTTCTCATACAACTATAAGAAAAACTAGTAAAGATAAAGTGAACATTTTTCATGACATTTACAGGTAATGTGCATGATCAACTACATTTTCTTTGTATGTTCCATGTAATGTTTGTATTCTTTAATATATATATATATATATATATATATATATATATATAACAAACAAAAAAATCTGAATCAGAAGGAGGGTTTGAACCCAGGTTGTCCGTATGAAAGCCCAGTGACCTTCCAGTTAATGTAACCAGCTATTACCTACAGAGGGAACAATAGCAGGAGAGTTACAAGTGCCTTGGTTTCCCACAGGCAAATGGCCACCTCGAGGAGGCAACAAGGAAAACAGCTTCAGGATTTTGCAGAGTAAAAATCTTTTTACAGCCTGATGTATGTTCACTGTGATATCAGTGGAAGAGTGACATGTATTATGTTTTTTTTTAAGGTTGTAATGCAATATTTACATTACTGTGTTTATCCCCATGCTGCCCAACACACACACGCACACGCACACACACACACACACACGCACACACACACACGCACACGCACACACACACACACGCACACTGTGATAATTTTCTTTCTCACTCTCATACACACACAACACAGCAATCATCATTTCACTTGTTTTTCTCTAATTCTGTGGTAAAAATGACCTTTGTCCAACACTTGTGAGGAGATTGTGTGTGGGGTCAGTGTCATGCAGGCCTTGCAGGTTACAAAGTTTTATATGTTTCATGCTGCACATATTTATCTTGTTTTCACTGTCAAATACAAATCTTTTAGGATTCAGATAAAACATGTTAAAATGGTGTATGATTTGTCTATACCTTTTCCATATGGGACAGAGATGGTAGAGAAAGTACAAAGATAGTACAGAGTTGGTACAAAGATGGTACAGAGGTGATAAAGAGAAAGTACAGAGGTGGTACATAGATGGTGTGGTGTGTGAGACGGAGAAGGTGAGGATCACATTTATTGATCCCAGAAGGGGGAGGGAGGGGGTCTGTACACAGCCAGAGGTAATATAAGAGAGGGAAACTCATATAAGGCACAGTTGAGGAAAGCAAAGGCGGACGCAGGCGATGTGCTTGTACAATCTGGTCCATGTTGTGGAGGTGAGGGCTCACTTTACCACTGGAGCTTGTGTTCAAATATATAATATGAGGAAATGTCTGCTGTAGGGCAGAGAGCAATAAGTCTGAGGATGAGGCACTGTTGTAGAGAGAGATGCCCAAACAGACAATCACAGCGCTGTGGAGGAGGATTTAACCCACAAACTCTCACTATTCACTTTATTGTTTCAAACCTCTATTGGTACTTTACATCACGCTGGGGGTGTTCTACATGTATGTGTATTAGTGGAATGTTCAGCAGTTACCATGGGGACACAATGCAGACATTTGCAAACACTGAAAATTCATGGAAAAAATACAGAATGGATTTTCAGGAGCCTGTGATCAGTCTGAGCGTTCATGGTTCTGTTTATGGCCCAATTTAGCCAGTTTATGCAGAGGTACCAGAATTCCACTAAAATGTTGGTATACGCTGAACTATCAATGCTTTTAAAAAAATTTTGGGCATATACATAATGTATTGGTAACAAGTTGGATGTATACATAATGTATTAATTACTTATAAAACATTTTGATAACTTATTAACAGTGTTGGGAAGTTTACTTTTAAAATGTATTTCCCTACAGATTACAGATTACATACCCCAAAATGTAGTTTGTAATGTAATCCATACTTAATTACTTAAGGTGTGTAATGTAACCTGAATACTTTGGATTACTTGTATTGTCATGCTTTTAAAACTACATGAATGTAGCAAACACATCCTGAAAATTCTTGTTGGTTCTCTTCAGATTGTCTGTTGAACAGGTTTGTGTTTACTGTAGAGATGCAAAGACTAGGAAATCTGAACATAAGATGTTTTGTCTGCTTAAAGAAAATAAAAAGACCAGACTTTCCTTAACCATATTAAAAATATTATTGATAGAGAAATGATTTCTATATGAGGTCACTGCCTTAAGTTATGTTCACCGTACTGTTAGTGTCATGTTGTTTAGACCTGGTTTAGTCCTGGTGTTAGTTCTGGTTTAGAGGTGCACAGGAGGAAGCGTGGTCCCTCTCTTCTTTAAATACAAAGTGACGTCTAAATTTCGAGGATACAAATGTGTTTTTGCCCATGCTCTACTGGTTCTGTTCTACTGGCTCCTTGACCTTCTCGATTGTGTGACTGACGCCACCAGCGTTAAAAAGACGTTTACATCGCTCTTATTGCCGCGCTCGGTTTGGGTTTCCGGCAATGAGTGGAAATACCGAAATAATAATTTAAAAAAAGGGATACAGTCCAAAATGTGAAAACAGGAAAATACAGCTGTGTAATCCATTTATTTCAACAAAGTAACTGTAATCCAATTACCGTTCACTGAAACAGTAATTGTAACCGAATACAGTTACTCATAATTTGTACTCTGATTACGTAACTCTGGTACATGTAATCTGTTACTCCCCAACACTGCTTATAGATAATTTATACCAACTAATGCTTAGTGTGCTGCCAGCATCCACAACTTATGCCCAATGACAGTCTAACATATGCCCAGTGCACGGCAGAATATCACCGAAAAGACTGTCGCTCACAGAGTTCCACCATCAGCTGATCATACATGCCAGATTATCATCGCCTCCTGATCCATGGTCTCACCCACTTCCTTCTCCGCTGTTGGTCTCTTCTTCTCTCTGTTCTCCTCTTGTTCTATTGGCACACAACTGGTACAGTGACAAATCGATGAGATCAATGTTGGAGGACAGTTAGTATGTATTTTCATCTCAGCCTTGCCAGATCCTCCATCTCTCGGGTGATCTGTGTAGCAGGTGGTACAACAGGGTCTGCTCACCATGAAGTCTGGAGGAGTACTGACAGTTTCCCCTTTTTTTTTATACCAATTTCCTACATGCTGCCAATACACCGTTATACCGTAGCTATAAGTTAGAAACATGTTCAGTAAGTTCTGTAGTTGTCGGAACATGTCAAATATGTCTGCATATTTCAATATGCTTTGGAGAAAAGTTCGATACAAGTTACACACAAATTCAAAGCACGTTACTCAGTTCTGGGTACCCCAGACATTATTTCAATGTATTTGGACTTATGAGTAACTTAAAATTCACATGTCAACAATCACATAATTTACCTACAACTTATGGCCCACGTATGCAGGACATATGAATATCAAGACTGCACATAGGCTAAGAGAATGTGCAATAATTAATAGAATACAAGAATGCAAGGGCTTGTCTGTTAAGAATAATTTAAAGGTCCTGTAGGTGCATCACTCGTGGTCAGACTTGGTCTCATATTTACTTTGTTCTGTGGTGTTTGTTTATGTGATGCTTTGTGTTGTGTTGTTTTTTGATAAAGTATGTTACCCTCTGTCCCAAGACAAATTTCTCCCATGGGAGTCAATAAAGGATTATCTTATCTTATCTTATACGCTGACATAAATTGAGAAATTTTCAGCATGCTGAACATTTTTTGGCGACCTTTACGTATGTTGCCCTATGCCAGCGTGCTTCAGTGTGCTCAGAACTTACACAAAACTCACCTATAACTAATCTGACGAATGCCAATGTATTTGCCAATTTTTTCATACGTTGGCATACGCTGGTTAAATCGTCAAGGTGTGACAGCCCCTTAAGGAGTTTGATTCTCAAAAAAAAGGTGAGACTGACTCCCTGAAAAACTTTTGGCTTATGCTAGCGACCTTGTAACTGTCATGTTATTTGAGAGGGACTTGTTTAACAGATCAAATCAGCTCACCTGTCGTAGTTCCAGCTAAGTCAACACTTCATGGTCAGATTGTAATAAAATAAAGATCAGATTAAAGTGTCAGAAGCCTCAGACAGAGCAGTGCTTACAGTTATCATCTCACCTCCAGGGAAAGTTTATAACATCAGCTGCTCAGTAACAATCATTGAATAATTATACCACTCTTGGAAGATGCACCCTGTAACTGTTCTGATGAAGGGTCCACCATCTGCTTGTTTCCACGGAGATGTTATGGTTTTGTCTGGAATGTTCCACAGTGCATTAATCTTACCTATCTCTCTGGACGCAAGCTGGAGACAGATAGGCCTGTCAGAATAATTACTACATCGATTTATTGTTCAATATGTGACAGATGGAACAATCATTTTTGGGCGTCAGTATTTAGTGTATGTGCCTTTTCTTTGTACTAGTGGGACGTTTCTGGTTATTTATTGCAACATGATCATATTTGTGTGGTAGAAGGTTGAATGATGAATTTCTCTGACTCATTATAGATACAACATAGATACAGACATTTATTTATTACAGCTCGCTTTTTTTTTTTTTTTTTACTTATCTTACTTACTTATCTGGGGATGACTCATACTTCAGATTAGGTTTATTACGTCTTTTTTATATAATTAAACTATAGTTTGGTATGAACATGCCTTTGCTTTTATCATACCTTGACAATTTCACTTTGCTTCCTCAGAAGTGTCATGTGTTATAACAGTGAGGCCTTTGAGATGTGCAGGTGCAGCCCCCACACTGTATATCAGGATGATGGGGCATATCGAGTTTCTCACATTTGGCGTACAGTTTGAAGAAGTCCAAATCAGTTTAAATCAGTTGAGCAGAAACATCACAACCACATCACATGAGACTGAGGAGGAAGGTAGCAGAGAGCAGCCATGATAAAAACAGGCCCTGAAACTATAAGAAACTATAACATATAAGACATACAACATCTCCTAGAGCCAAGCTGAAAAGTGATATACTGCATGTTTCAGCTGAAAAATAAATAAATAAAATAAATTACTACATAAAATAAAATTTAAAAAAATGTGTACGTGATACATGGTTTGTAGTACTAACAACTTCATAATATGGCAGCATCCTGCAAAAGTGGATATATACAGTATAATGAATGATTATGTTATAATTCACACATTTTAAATCACAATATTCATCTTAAAGCATGTAACAGCATTTAGTAAACATCACAACAAAGAGCTGTGCAGCTGTCAGCCCCTCCTATGGATAACTGTATGCATTTGCATTTGTGTCAAAATAACTACACTTGTCTCACAGATTAATAAAATAAAATTGGAGATTGAAATAGAGAGAAGTGGACATGTACTGGTAGTGGTGAAAACAAGAGCTGATCAGCAAAATCACATCACATCACAAACATGCTCGAATGTGCACAGATCACTCCAAATACAATGTTCAGAAGGTGAACAAGAAGGAAACAACATAACACGGTTAAAATCTCTGAAAAGTCAATTTTGCAGAATGGGTCTGCTTTAAACCATATTACATAAAAGTAAAAAGAAAAATATCCAAATGTGATCTAACTAAATACATGAATTAAATAAGAAAATAATATACAATAATAATAATAATATTGCTGATTGTGTTTCCAGGTGGGGGGCCTGGCTTCAGAGAACGTGCGCTGGGCTGAGGCGGTGCAGAGCTTTAAGCACCAGGAGAGCAGTCTGTGTGGAGATGTCCTCCTCATCACGGCCTTCGTGTCCTACCTGGGCTACTTCACCAGGACCTACAGGCACGTGCTGATGGAGCAGAGCTGGAGACCCTTCTTCTCACAGCTGCAGGTCTGTACCATGCACACCTCACATTACAACATTTGGTGGTAGTGTTGTCACCAGACTCACATTTTCAATTCCAAGTGAATTCCAATTTCCAAGTCAATTCTGATGCTAAGGAATAGTCTCAATACTGGCTCCTTCTGACTCTGGTTCCTATTGACTCCCATTGGAATATTGTGGCTCCTCTCTTTGTAACTGCTGCTGTGAGCCTCATTGTTTTGGTCTTAAAATGTTTGTATTAACTCGGTCTACATGATCCTGGTGTTTTTATTTCACTATATTGTCTATAAATAAATGTGTGACACAATGCACACATTAGGCAAGGCAAGGCAAGTTTATTTGTACAGCACAATTCGTACACAAAGTCAAAGTGCTTTACAGAATAAGAAATACATTAAAATCATAATAAAAACAAATCAAAACATAAATAATCATGAAGATTAAAATTAAAAAAGAGAGACACAAAGGGACAGTGTCAGCATCACCTCCAGTCTCTCTCTCTAAAACCTTCAAATCAGGCAAGAAATCTCGGGGTAATAATGGACTCAGACTTGATCTTTAACAGCCACATCAAATCAATAACATCTGCAGCCTTTTATCATCTAAAAAACATAGCAAAAATCAAAGGTTTACTGTCTAAAGCAGACTTGGAGAAACTTATCCATGTGTTTGTCTCCAGTAGGTTAGATACTGTAATGTTCTGCTCACTGGTCTCTCCAAACGAGCTGTGAGACGCTGCAGAACATCCAGAACACGGCAGCTCGGGTCCTGACTCGAACCAGGAAGTACGAGCACATAAAGGTTGTATGGAGGATTTTTTTTTTGTTTCAAATTGTCATTGAAAGTTTAAAATACCATTACAGTGATGCAGCAGCCTTGTAATTATGATGACCAACAACAACAAAAAAAAGAAAAAAGAATGAAAATCTATCAACTGTGGACGTAGTGAGGTCCAGATAAACATCAGCCAATAGATAACGAGGCTCCCTCATTTTCTATTGGCTGTTAGGTTGTCAATCAAACTCCCTACGTTTCTAGTGTAACTGACTCACCAGTGCGCGGGGATTACCTGGTTTATGCAGTGCTTCTTAGAGGTTTTTTCTAACTGCAGCTTCCTCGCAGTTCACACAAAGTTTGTTGCGATGGCGGACGAGAATCCACGACCAGTTCGCCGCAAAAGAAAGTCCGTTTTTGAGGTCGCTGAAAGAAGAAGAAGAGAAGGGGAAAAGAAGCGGAGAAAAAACTGAGGTTATTTTTTTCCAGCGAGTGCGTGAATGAAGCAGACAAAGTGTCTAAAAACTGACGTGTCGGTTGCTAAATTATTTCTAGACAGGTCACTTCAACAGTAATTCTGAACGTGCACTGGCTGTAAACAAACATGATTTCTAGCGTAAGGAGGTGGGAGGAGGTGTTTCTACTGAGGGAGCTGTGGAGGAGGACGGTGGTGTCATGCATGCTCAACATTTGAAAAAGGACTGTCGCTGTATTTCTTATCCCTTAAAAAATCCTTTATACAACCTATAAGTCCTGTGCTCAGGTCTCTGCACTTTCTCCTGTGGCCCAGAGAATAGACTTTAAATCAATTTACTCTGATTTGGATGGATTTATTACTGGAGATACTCTTCCACCCAAAAGATAAAATAGAACCGGAGCATAACTGTAATGTCATATATGAAACCTGCATGTCCTGCAATAAAACATACAACGGGGAAACAGGGAGGGCGTTAAGACCACGAAAAAATGAACATAGGACAGAATGTGAGAAGGAAACAGAGAAGGCAAAACACGAACAACAAAATACAAAGCAGAACAGGAACAACACAAATCGGCTGTTTCTGACCACTGTAAAAGAGAGAACCACATTATGGACTGAGACGAAGCAAACATCACTGAGACCGAGGAAAACAAACATCGTCACTGGATTAAAGAGACAATCAAAATAGGGAAATGTGTCAGCGGAACTATCAACCAGGACGAGGGGGGCTTTTTTACTCTAACATGCCTCGGATACTGTCCTGAGGAATTTGGACTGCAAAACCTGTTTAAATGAGCTGAGCGAGACGTCACAGCAACATCACAAGACTCTGAGGAAGAAGAACAGGGAGCAGGTCTGAAAACAAACTCTTGGTCTGAAAAAATAACCTAATAACATACAAAATGTATTTAAAGAGCGCATTTTCAGCAGACTGCCATCAATACGAGCGCACATGGTCTTGTTTACGAGTTTGGTTTTCAACAAGAAGGTGAGAGTGATTAACTAAAAGACTCTTTCCTGTCAGATTGTGTTGAAATATTAAAGGAAAGATTAGATTAAAGTCTAACAAAGCCTCAGACAGACCATGCGTACAGTTAATGTCAAAACTCCAGGGAATGTTGAGAGCATCATCTGCAAAGTACCAATTAAAAACATTCTTTATTGAGACAATAGAAGTTGATTTTTAACGTTAAATCTTCGTACTTTCTTTTCTCTTCCCATGTGTGTTATATGTGTGTAATGGTCAGTGGTGCAGTAGGTTCATGTTGGTCCATGTGTATATATTAGTCTATGTGCTCTGACACTTGATCTGATACAGCTCAACATCATTCTAAAGACATTCAGGAAAGGTTCTTTTCTGCCCTGTTAATCTGACTTTCAGTATCGATACCTGCTCATATGATTATCTAGTTTCAATACAATTTTTAGTGTCCATTAGTATCAGATTTTCAACACTGGACTGACAACCCTGTTTGGTGGTAATACCTGGTTGGTGGGTAACATGTACTTCTAGTGCCTCTGCTCAATTTCATTTCTCTCCAGTGACTAGGTCAGAATAAGAATACACTGGACCAGGCGTATCCAAACTATGGTCCGTGGGCCAAATGCGGCCCTCAAACTATTTTTTTCTTGGCCCTCAGGCTTCCAGGAGAATTGGCCCAAATGACCTTGCATCAATGAAAAATTAACTTTTTATTGCAAGTTTTTTGAAAATCTTGATCAAGACAATATTTAATATTTAGTGTGTGGTTTTAAGGATTTTAGCATGAATAAAAGACTGATGGCTCATTCTAACAGGATAAACATGCACATATTTCAATTATTCACTGTACTGCGCTCCAGTCTACGACCCTCGATCGCCCCTCTGCTTCTTCTGTGTTTAGATATGTGGCTCTTGATGAAAAAAGTTTGGACACCCCTGCACTAGATAGTTCGCAAAAACCCCGGAAGCGTAAGTTCGGGCACCAGCCAATCATCGAAGAGCCATATATTCTGTGTGTTGTCAACGATTCCCGAAATCGAGGATTTAAAGCCGGAATAGAATGTTTGGTGAACTTTATCAAGGGGAAAGACTCTTATTATTGTCCTTCTTCCTACGGGATTTGGGAAAAGCTTAATATACCAGTTAGCCCCATGAGCAGCACATTACATACGTCACGACCAAATATCAGCGACTGTACCCGTCTACTGTCAAGCGAACAAATTCTAACACTGCGGGTCAGACTAGAGGATGAGGCCAGTTCGTCCAGATTGTTACCTCTTTAAAACAACAGTACTATTCCTATAAACAAGTGCATGGAGCCCTGTAAGCGAGAGGTACATTTGAAATCGCCACAGACCTCCGAGTCTCCGATAAATCCAAGTATAACTGTGTAATGATTCTGACTTTGAATAAATGGATTTCAGATGAGTTTGGAGCTGAGGAGTAAACAAAAGGCTGGAGCCAAAAGGAGCATATACACAACTATGATCAAATAATTGCTTGTTGTGGTGTTTGTTGGATTTAGGGTCCGGCTCGATAAATTACAACAAAAAGAATGGACAGGATACGTGACGCTGTGTTTTGTTTGAATAACCCTTTATTTATTATGAGTCTGTCCACATCTCCAAAGATCAAAATGCTCTGTTCCACCTAGTTTTCAAGTCAACAGCTACACTCTTACCTTTAGTTTTGCTCTCCATGCTAAGTCACCCCCGTTTCAGAGCACTATGACAACACAATCAACATGCATCCCGCTTATAAAAATAAAACTAAAGCACATCGCATCAGGATTGTGTCATGTTTTTGAATATTTCTAGAGAACTTTGGACAGAGCATTGGACAGAATAACAGCTAACCATAAAGAGGGTTTGAATAGGGCCCAGGGGAGATCACTAAATTACTCAAACATACATAGATGACATCTAAAACCTCTTCAGGCATGTTTTTAATGACCAGTGTTGGGGAGTAACAGATTACATGTACCGGAGTTACGTAATCAGAGTACAAATTATGAGTAACTGTATTCAATTACAGTTACTGTTTCAGTGAGTGGTAATTGGATTACAGTTACTTTGTTGAAATAAATGGATTACATGGCAGTATTTTCCTGTTTTCACATTTTGGGCTAAACCAGGACTAAAACCAGGACTAAACCAGGACTAATCCAAGACAAAACCAGGACTAAACCAAGTCTAAAACCAGGACTAAAACTAGGACTAAACCAGGACTAAACCAGGACTAAACCAGGACTAAACGCAGGACTAAAAGCAGGACTAAACCAGGACTAAACTAGGACTAAACAATATGACACTAACAGTAGGTGGACATAATTGAAGGCAGCAGTGATCTCATATAAAAATTATTTCTCTATCAGGATGTGGTTGCTAGATTCTTGTCGTTTTAAAAAGCAAGACAATATCAAGTAATCCAAAGTATTCAGATTACATTACTCACTTTAAGTAACTTAATGGATTATGTTACAAACTACATTTTGGGATGTGTAATCTGTAGGGGAATACATTTTAAAAGTAACCTTCCCAACCTTCCTGTCAGTGTTGGGGAGTAACAGATTACATGTACCAGAGTTACGTAATCAGAGTACAAATTATGAGTAACTGTATTCAGTTACAATTACTGTTTCAGTGAGTGGTTACAGTTGATTACAGTTATTTTGTTAAAATAAATGGATTACACGGCGGGATTTTCCTGTTTTCACATTTGGGGCTGGAAACTAAACCAGGTCTAAACCAGGTCTAAACCAGGTCAAAA